TTTTGTATGTAACTAATATTGATTTTCCCGGTGCATTCATACGTATGTTTATGCGAGTACATAATATAAATGTATTTATAACAGCTATAAACATAGCCTGTCCCAACTGGGACAAGTCAGAGTAAAATGACAGGGGACAGAAAACTCCCTGAAAAATGTGCCATAAATTCATGCTTCTCGGAGTGTCGTACTGGAAGCATCTCGCCTCTCGATTTCCGCATGGACATTTCAATCGGTTCTGCCTTTCTCTGAAACTCTATATCTTCGCCAGAGAACCTTCTTCTTATATACATATAAACTACTTATTGTTTATTAAAAAATTTCATAACTTTTTAACCATATACCATACAAAACTTAAGTCATAAATTTGCAAGTTGACCATCAGTTATAGTGAAATGAACAGAAAGTGAGAAGTTGCAGTTGGAGGAGACGTTGCAACAGATTTGTCAAAGCACATTAAACGTCCTCTAGTTGTCCGCTTCATTTTCGCCGGTGAAGGACGAAATTATAGCATTGGCTTTCATGCTGTCGCGCAATAAATCTCGCCGATTGAATCTCGCTGATTGTAGCTGCTTCCAGCCAGATGGTTCGCGAAATTTCGCGTTCAACGTTGTTGATATATCCCCGTTGTGACGATTAATTGAGCATTGTGTTGACCGTTGATTCGACATAATTCTGCTTAACCGATGTCCCGACGAGATTACAGTCGAATTATTCTTATTCTATCACGGCAATAAAGTTCCAATTTTGCGACGGAAAAATCACTTTGCAAGTCGGATACTGACGGTATCGTCGAGTGTTCAACGAAATCGATGCTATAGCATCCTACCTGATTCATCCCGGGCGGTGGAACATTGAAAAAAGCTTTCAGGAGCTATTCTTTCTCGTTTCTTGCTTCGCGACAGGGGATCGACGCTTACATCCGTTCCAGAGACGTTTCCATTGTGCTCCAGGCTACACACTTACCTTAATGTTCCAAGAAAAAATACGTGGTTGCAGCGAAACTTTGTCGGAAATATTGTTTTGCGGGTTTGTAAATTTATAAATTTACAGATGCTCAAATTCTCAAGTTTTTTAATTTACAAATTTTCCAATTTCCACATTCCTCAATTCCCATATCCCCCAATTCCCACATTCCCCAAATCCCACATTCGCAATTCTCACATTTCCCAATTCCCACATTCCCCAATTCCCACATTTCCCACACATTCCCCAATTCCCATATTCCTCAGTTCCCACATTCCCCAATTCCCATATTCCTCAGTTCCCACATTCCCCAATTCCCATATTCCTCAGTTCCCACATTCCCCAATTCCCATATTCCTCAGTTCCCACATTCCCCAATTCCCATATTCCTCAGTTCCCACATTCCCCAATTCCCATATTCCTCAGTTCCCACATTCCCCAATTCCCATATTCCTCAGTTCCCACATTCCCCAATTCCCATATTCCTCAGTTCCCACATTCCCCAATTCCCATATTCCTCAGTTCCCACATTCCCCAATTCCCATATTCCTCAGTTCCCACATTCCCCAATTCCCATATTCCTCAGTTCCCACATTCCCCAATTCCCATATTCCTCAGTTCCCACATTCCCCAATTCCCATATTCCTCAGTTCCCACATTCCCCAATTCCCATATTCCTCAGTTCCCACATTCCCCAATTCCCATATTCCTCAGTTCCCACATTCCCCAATTCCCATATTCCTCAGTTCCCACATTCCCCAATTCCCATATTCCTCAGTTCCCACATTCCCCAATTCCCATATTCCTCAGTTCCCACATTCCCCAATTCCCATATTCCTCAGTTCCCACATTCCCCAATTCCCATATTCCTCAGTTCCCACATTCCCCAATTCCCATATTCCTCAGTTCCCACATTCCCCAATTCCCATATTCCTCAGTTCCCACATTCCCCAATTCCCATATTCCTCAGTTCCCACATTCCCCAATTCCCATATTCCTCAGTTCCCACATTCCCCAATTCCCATATTCCTCAGTTCCCACATTCCCCAATTCCCATATTCCTCAGTTCCCACATTCCCCAATTCCCATATTCCTCAGTTCCCACATTCCCCAATTCCCATATTCCTCAGTTCCCACATTCCCCAATTCCCATATTCCTCAGTTCCCACATTCCCCAATTCCCATATTCCTCAGTTCCCACATTCCCCAATTCCCATATTCCTCAGTTCCCACATTCCCCAATTCCCATATTCCTCAGTTCCCACATTCCCCAATTCCCATATTCCTCAGTTCCCACATTCCCCAATTCCCATATTCCTCAGTTCCCACATTCCCCAATTCCCATATTCCTCAGTTCCCACATTCCCCAATTCCCATATTCCTCAGTTCCCACATTCCCCAATTCCCATATTCCTCAGTTCCCACATTCCCCAATTCCCATATTCCTCAGTTCCCACATTCCCCAATTCCCATATTCCTCAGTTCCCACATTCCCCAATTCCCATATTCCTCAGTTCCCACATTCCCCAATTCCCATATTCCTCAGTTCCCACATTCCCCAATTCCCACATTCCCCAATTCCCATATCCCCCAATTCCTAATTTTCCAAATTTCCCTATCTCTAACTGCCCAAATCCCCAATTTCCAAGTCCCCTACTCAGATCCCCAAATTCTTAAATCTCCAACTCTCCAATTTCTCCCTCAGATTTAAAACTTTGAGTCCGTCAGTTTTTCAATTTTGTCGCTGCAATAAAGTGTAACGGAAAGGATCGAAGCACTTTTTCTAGCCCAACGCATTTCAACGGCGCTAATGCGTTTCAGGTCGAGCGTAATGAAAGGAAAGGCGAACGATGGCGCAGCGCGAAAGGTCTCGACCATGATGGTCAGTGTGGGCACACACTTTGTCCATTATGGGTAAGGTCATATATACACGATAAGTAATCGCTTTCGACGCTCTCTACGATGAAAATACGGTTTCTACAACCGAGTACCAAAACAAACAACCGACGAATTTTTCGCCCGTGAATGTTTCGCTCTCGCGTAAAAATTATTGTGTTTAAACAGGCGGAGGCATGTGGCGAGGCGAAACAACAAGTTTTGGTAAAATTAACACGCTGAAAATTGCACATCGAATCATCGGGTTTAAAGTATCGCAACTTTGCTAAAATTATGGCGGTATATTTTTGACTGCGCCAAACAAAATAATATTTGGTCAAATAATATTCGGAAATTTGATTCGTGTTTCAGGCAGTTTTGGTAAAGGTTTTCAACGGAAGGTGTTAACGCATTCGCCGGGCGAATTGTACTTAACTCAAGCTGTGTTTTCTCGGGAGGTTCAATCGAGTTAATTATATAAAACACGAGTGCTCGTAATATCGAGATATTCATTATCGAATTAAAAGATGATAAAGTCCGTGCTGTTAATAACCCGAGTTCGATGAATCGGAGTTTCTGGATTTTCAGAATGTTCAACGAACGTTCCGAGCAAATGGCGCAGCCAGCCATTCCGCAGGAAGGTTATTTCAAATTTCGTTTCTTCTCGGGAAAACTCGCGTCGTTCAACACCGGGACGTTTGATTTTTCAACGACGAACCGTGCGATCGAGCACTTTTCCAACTTATCCAAGATTAAACGAGTTTCGAACGTGGAACTCGCGCTTTTACAAGTTTGCCTGTCACGAGGAGCGTCACGTTTCGAGGTTACGAAGCAAAGGATCAAAAAAAAAAGGAAATATTAAACGGTGAGCTGTAAACGCGAAACTCCGGATCGTTAAAAAGCGAAAACAGGAGATAAATTCTCGGGAGAGGACAAAATGTTGAGTTTGTTTTGAACGAGACGTCCCAAGAACGAGATACGAGATCTGGGCTCAAGATACCGTGTCAACGGATTTCCTTCCGGGAAAATCCTATCTATCCCATAAATTATCCGCTCCACTCGTTAACCCAAAACGGTGTCCAGGGTTGTCTATATCCGACTCCTTCGAACTAACCCGAACTTCCGTAATTGCTCGGAGGTCAGCTCGTTTAAAGAACATCCTCGCCAATCTGATTACCACAACAATACGAAACTTCCTCCTCGGCTCGAAACAAGCCAACTTAACCGCATTGACGCCATCAAACTTCCGATGGATCTTGGACAATAAACACTACAAAATTCTTTTTGTAATTACATCTGATCAAAGGTGTCTCAAAGATTTCTAGTCGCTATCCTTTGCACAAAAATCACTGATGAAGACCACTGAAGGACAGAGGTTTTAATCGTCTTGATTAACGAGCACTGATGTAATTACAGGTTCTCTCTTTTTATACGCTTCTAACCTTTTGCACTCCTATGTCGACATTATATTTTTCTTGGATCTTATAAATAGGTTAAATATATATTGAGGTGATGTACGTGAAATGAATAAAATCGTGTATTTGGCGAATGACTTTTATTTATACAGAAGGCGCGATACGAAGATCGAGACTCGAATGTCTCTCGAAAAATATTTTCGCATGAGAGAGAAAACTCTTTCCTTTTTTGGGAAGTCCCGAGTGGAAAGGGCCGAGGGCCTCTTAGACCCGTCGAGCCAGCGCAAAACTATTTACAACTTAATGACTCTATTGACTCGACGGGTCAAAATTTTGTCTTTTGTCTTTGACAAAATCCAGACCTCGTTTTCCACTCGGAACTTTCCCTGTCGCCACAATATTTTCATTTATTTACTGTTTATAATAAATTAAAAATATATATGTTACAAACTCCACGCTGTTGTGATACATTTAATGCAGAGCTTCTTCCTTGTTCTATTTTGTAAATTAACCCCTTGGCTACTTAAACGAGTCTGACTCATGACTCCCTACTCAAAACCTCACTGAAAGACTTGACAAATCTCCCTCAAATTTTAAGTACTCTTCAATTTGTAGTTTAAGTCCCATTATAATTTATGCAGTCAATAATCATTGAACATAAAATGCTCACATATTCATGATCTCCATTTTAATATTATAGCCATGAATAGTTAGCTTTAATACATCTGACAAATACATTGTATTAGGCATTAAGAAATTGACAGGTAAAAGAAATTGAAGAGTGCAAAGAATTAAAAGTCCTCGATTTCTGCTTTACATGTAAGTAAATTAATTCGACATCATAGTGTTAATTCAACTTTGAGTCTGTAAAAATCATGGACAATGTGCAGATGGACAAGCGTCGAAATGGTGCTCCTTCCGCGTTGTAATTGAAAGATGGATGCCGCAGTCGCATGTCCCGGAATCTAATTATTCCGGCGAAATAGAATCTGCTTGAATTACTGGTTGCGTAATCCGCACGAATCGAACACGATTCAATCGAATTGGTGGTTCAGCCGTGCCAGAAACATCCGGTGTTCTCTCCTGCGCTGTTTCTCCTCGACGAGATCGACCGTTGTACTTCGAACGCCGAGGATTCTTTTTTCCTCCTTTTCTCCCTATCTCTCGAATCGCTTAATTCGAGGAATAATCGAGAGATAAGAAGGAAACGATCTGCGACGAAAATGAATTGCGGAGGTTCTGCTAATAAATCTCGCCGTCACTTCATATTTTTTCCTAATTAATGAACGCCGTCTATTAAAACGCGGCCGCGCTGAATCGCTCCTCTGGCCGAGGTTACACCCTTGGGTTTTCTTTCGCGGAAACGGAGGACTGTTATTCAGGTGGCGTTGAAAAATTGTGGCGATAAAGAAAGAAACTTTACAGGCAGTTAGAGGAGAATGTATCCGATTAACGGTTAATTAAATGCAGTAAAAAAACATGTACGCGAGTGAACGAATCGAATCGTCTATAAAATTGTTTACTACAGGAAAACATTGATCATAAACCCAATAAGAAACGAGTCATGCTTTGTAACAGAATCTTTATTTGTCATAAAAAGCGTAAATTTTCTTCGAACTCGCGTCCGACCGAAATGCAATTTTATTAAAAGCATTTATCTTCCACCCCCTGTCCTTCATCCTCGAATTTTCTGGATTACCCTGAAGAATGGGAGACCTTCGTTGAATCGCGTTAAACAGGCTCCGCATTGTACAAGTAATATTCCGCATAAGTCTTTATAAGCACAATTTACGAGCCGCCGAGGTGCGAAATAAAAGATGACGAAGAAGCCACGAGAAACAGGGCTGACTCACCAGGGAGAGGCAAAAGAGACACGCGGTTCGAATCCGTGAATTTTGTCGAAAACGGGCACGTTCGAACGAAAGGGTAACCCTCGAAATTGGTCCACGATCGAATTGACCCTCGACCGGGCCGATTTGTCCCCGCAAAATAAATTCGAGCCAGCCGTGCGATTTATCTTGCCGGCGAACAGATTTATTTGCGAAATACGTGGGCAGGCGCGGAACGCACGTACGAAAATTGCGGCCGAACGTTGCGTCACGCGGAACAAACAAATAATCCTCGATGTCGAATAAACAAATAATTTCATCGCGTAAATTCGCGTATAGAAACCTCGAACGTGCGAATATTAATATAAGCGAGCCCGTATTTATTATTCGTGACGCGTAGAAAAAGAGAAGATGGAAGAGGATCTCCAGAGAGACACGCCACGAAAAAAATAGGAAAAACAGTCGGGAAGAGAGTTGGAATTCCACGGTGAGTTCCTCTTTCACGATGTCTCGTCTTTGGAGGAGAACGCGGGATTCTCGCGGGACTGCGCACCGTAGGCTAATTTCGGACACTCGGACTTTCGCCTCTCCTTCTTGCTCTTCCCGTTTTTACAGATCGTCTCGTCGGATCCGGATGGGACGCTGATCACTTCCGTCAGCTGCATCGCCGTCGCGAGCCTCGACGCCTGAAACCAGAATATCGAGATGTCAACTCTTGGAAAATGAAACTTGTCGATTTCATTCGGAACATGTATTGCAGGTTCATCTAGGTGTTCAAAATTATAAGTTCATTTTTAGGTAAATTATGGACAGTTTCTCTCTTTGTACACAGCTGAATGTTATATCTTATGAGCAGACTTTTATTAAATTCACGTTATAATGAAGTTTTTCATTACGTGGTGAAAAATGGAAGATTCGTAGACTGATGTTGGCAATATCACGTCAGTTTCATGAAGATGAAAATGTTATTCAGTCTCTCGAAAAAGTGGAATATACAGTAAGATTGTATTAAACGCAAGGGTCTACAAGAGCAAGGGCAATGATTAAATGAAAGTCTTCGTACATAATAATTTTTTTACACATTAATTCTTACATTTTAATTTTTGCACAATTGAAACCCAAGCACAATATGTTCTGTAATAAGATTTTAATTATACTCGTTGCATTTATAATTGCACAAGTATAAATGAACCAATAAATAAAACTAAGTATGCAATTTCTAAAATTTTACAATTCTTCAATGTTTAATTTCTAAATGTGTCTGCAATCATACAGAGAAATTCTATTACAAAAAATATCTCTATTTTTGACTAACAGTTACTGAAAGTGGCAACGTAGAAAAGGACCTCATAACTATCCCACAAATTATAGTCCTTTTCATATTACTCAAATGTCACCAGAATTCGATTGACCAGGTTGTGCACCGCTGTGAAGTTCGCACGCGTTCGCCACAGAATAAAGAAAGGAGTAAAGAAGGATAATACCTTCTTTTCCATGAAAGATTAAACGAGTTTGTAAGGCGAGAAAAAGATGTGTACATCGAAGTAATCATTTTATAGGAAAGTTATGTTCAATCTTGCGAAGAGAGTCTTTAAATATCAGAGGTTGTACTAGGACATGTGTTCTCGCGATAACGATGATACAAAGAAGAGGAGGAAGTCCATTGGAAGTTATTCCGCGGTTCATTCGAGACGCGTTAAACAGCGAGAACATCCAAGGAACCCCGCTTTTAATCCTCATAAATCACGAATCCTACCTGGAAAGAGATAACCCCGTTTTATGTTATCAACTAACCTTGTTCCAGTTTAAACTTCTAGCGCGCCGACTACCTTCAGCGTTTGTTGCTTATTTTTATCGTTTCGATTATTCGCCTACTTCCGTTTACCTCGTTACGTGACGTATCATAAACTTCCTCCGTATCATAAACTACTGGATAAAGGTCATTTATAATCTTCCACTTTGAGATACGGAAGGAAGGTACACAAGAGATTTCTCTAACAGAAACAATTCTGTTAAATTAAATTTTCAAACTTGAGAAACTCGGTTAAAAATTAGAGTTTGTATATTTGTAAATTGGAAGGTACGGAAATATGACTGACTAATTTCTAGCAACATTTGTCACGATCGCGAATATCCATAGTAAACAGGCAGTTACCGCTTGTTTTTTCACGCACCGATCGTTACGTGCATTTAAATTTTCGCAATGGACGGGAATTCATCGAGCGTGAAAAGTGGTCATAGTCATCGTTGTAGCGACGCTTTATCCCATTTGAATTTCATTGTTTGTCCGCGCGTTAAACGCACAGGAAGAACAGGCGGAAAATCGTAAATACTGTTTGGCCGGATGAGAACCATTGATTTTTCGAATGACCTTTCATTTCCTACGAACGATAGCTTCGTGGAAAAATAGAGAAATCTAAACTGATAGCTTCAAATTCGCTATTTTTAATAAATGAACTCTCTAGATATCGGTGGTATTAAAAAATCTATCCGACAGAAATTGGTTTCACCAGAAAATTAATAGTAAAAGCTCGTTTTAATTTAACAGTAAAAGACACAAATGTTATAAACAGAAGAATAATCGAAAATCAGTGGAACAGAAAGTAGATTAATTTTACATGAGCCAATTATATCCACGAGTGCAATTGAAAAGCGCTGACTAAACGATCACGATTAAGCATTGCTTCCAATAACACCTGCGCACCACGAGCGCAATTTGTTGCAAATTCAAGCTATAGCCAATTTAATTAGTTTCCACGCCATCGGATGCATCGCGTCCAATCACGATGACTTATTATGAGATTAAAACTATCCCAAAGGCGAAAAAGTTGTCCAATTCAAACTCGTCGCCGGCGCGAATCAACTCTCTAATTCGCCATACCTCGCACGCTCGTGTCGTTGCTTTTTCTACTTCACCGCCACGCGACATTTATTCCCAAACTCGCTTAAATTAGACGTTTCATTTGTGCTGCTCTAAAAGCGTTCGTTTGGTTTACTGGATATTTGGAGGGTTGGGAAATTGCTAGTTTGGAAATTGAGATATTTGGAAATTTGGAAATTAGAGGACTTCAGAATTTGGGGACGTGTGAAATTGGAGAGTTGGGAATTTGGAGACATGAGAAATTGGGGGTTGGGAATTTGGGGATTTAAGAATTTGGAGACATGAGAAATTGGGTGTTGGGAATTTGGGGATTTAAGAATTTGGAGACATGAGAAATTGGGGGGTTGGGAATTTGGGGATTTGAGAATTTGGAGATGTGAGAAATTGGGGGATTGAGAATTTGGGGACGTGAGAAATTGGGGGGTTGGGAATTTGGGGATTTGAGAATTTGGAGACGTGAGAAATTGGGGGGTTGGGGATTTGGGGACTTGAGAATTTGGAGACGTGACAAATTGGAGGGTTTGGAATTTGGGGATTTCAGAATTTGGAGACATGAGAAATTGGGGGGTTGGGAATTCGGGGATTTGAGAATTTGGAGACGTGAGAAATTGGGGGATTGGGAATTTGGAGATTTGAGAATTTGGAGACGTGAGAAATTGGGGGATTGGGAATTCGGGGATTTGAGAATTTGGAGACGTGAGAAATTGAGGACTTGAGAATTTGGAGACGTGAGAAATTGGAGACTTGAGAATTTGGGGAGTGAGAAATTGAGGATTTAAGAATTTGGGGATTTGACAATTTGGAAACGCGAGAATTCAAGAACTTGAGGATCCGAAAACTTGAGAGTTGCGAAACTTAGTAATTCGAGAATTGGTAAAAAAGTCCAAAACTTGCAAAAATAAAAATACTATAATTTGTAAATGTCTGGAAACTGTCTAGAAAAAGAAGGCCGATGAGTAGTTAATTCCATCGATAATGCTGATGGGTTCAGGTCACGAAGATAAAAGTGGAACAAAGAAAGGGTGATTTTTAAGGAACGAGGCGTAATAAAAGTTTCTGGTTCGATAGGAGTTCGGAGGAGTTTAAGCTTTCGCGAAAAAGAAACACTTCAGAAATTCACTCGACTTCGCCGGTGGTTGTGTCTCTTTATGAAAAAGCGGCCAACTTTCATCTCGAGAGACAAACGGCCGCGGAGAAGCTCGTACGCCTTTTTGCTCTCGCTGACGTTCGAAAGACTGTTCTTTCTCTTCTTTTTCCCTCCACTCCTCAACGTCGAGTATAAAAATTTAAGTACCTTATTTTACTTAATTCGTCCGACACGAGCTTAACTTCGAGGGTGAATTTAAGAGATGATTTTCTTTTTGTTTTGCCGCGCGATAATTACGACGAGAACTAACCACCGATATATTTGGGAACTTTGAACTAGACGGGATTAAAAGTTTCGAGAATTAATCTGGAGCCTTTAGCAAAGATTACACGCTACGGGAACTTTATCCGCTTATCGGGTTCAACGATTGTGTTCATTTAATAAAATCGTTTTTATTAGCAAGTTTCGATAGAAAATTTCAAAGGGAAGAATCAATTTTTTAATAGTTAACGTTCGGAACAGCAGTTACAAAGTTTTTCTTTGCAAGAAATATATTTCGAGCAATTCGATATTTTACAACGTCCGATATGAACAATGGGCAATAAAGCGAATATATCGTCGAGCTGTTATTACCGAAGTTCGACGAAACTTTTCTAGAAAACGAAACCAATCCAGAGATAAGATCAATTTTGATCGAACTCCGTTTTTGAAGTTCGAAACAGCACTTTTACAACAGAGAAAATTGCTGTATCTGAAAATGCCGATAACCGTTTCGCCCGAGTAAAAAAGTGTTGCTTTTGCAAACTGGTCCGCTTTAAAAACACCATAGATGCGTCGCAAAATTGCTCCCTTCGCTGCCGGGGGAAAAAATAACTATCGCAACAAATTTCAACCCGTCGTTGTAGCGAAAAAATTGTGTAAACATTTAACGAAGCCCCCTGGCAATTTTCCAGCTTCGCGAAACAGCGTCGCTCGAAACGCGTTTGCACGGCCGCGATTTGGAACTCGTTACCTTTCGTCTATCCCGATGGGCGGAATACAGGATCCAGACAATGTAGCACACCATTATTATGGCGGGTATGCAGACACCGGCCAGGGTTGACGCGTCCCGCAAAAGTGCATGGTGCAAGCTGAGCAACATGATTGCCAGAACGGCCCCACCGGCGACGTACCTTCCGGTGCGACGTCGCTCGTCCTGTCAACAAATGACAAATGTCCAGTTATTGTTTCGCCCATTTCCAACCGCTCCGTGTTTTTACAAAAAACGGTTTACGGCGTACATTGTTTGTTCGCGGCCATCTTGTTTGCTTACTCTTCGTAGTCAGCTATTTTTGGACTGCTATGCTTAATAAAGGCAAAGTTTAGTAGGTGTTTGAGACGAGGTGTTTGCTAATGTTAACAAGATGGCCGCAAGGAAAGGACGACTCTACGCTATTCGTTTGAAAATTTTTCAAACTTTCGTACACCTAGTCCATTCTGACTTTGATGAACTTCTCGATTTAATATATTTAATTAATGACTCTCTGTTTTGACGATGATTTTGTAACCATTTTTTGTCAGTGCATTATCAAAATCTTGTCGGTGTATTTAAAAAATCTTGCCGATTCAAAACCAAGCTTCACAAGCTTCGTATTTTAGGTTATGTTGGATTAGCAAAACTGAGTCTAACGGTGAGCCTGGCACCATCAGCTCGATTAGACAGAATTCAATTACTGGAGCATTCTATTAACTTTGTTTTTATACAAAATAGTTAACTTCCACGACAATGGTGCGACAGCTGACCTTTATCGAGTATCGTGTCTTTGATTCTATGCCATCCTGTTATGTCCTGTTTGCGTCTACCGTGTCACGTTCTATTTGCTTTCGAATATCGTGCCAAGCTTCCAAATGTAAACGCAATTAACCCCTGAGTAATTCACGGAACAATATCTCCCTTAACAACTTTGGATATCAAATCTGGAATCGTCCTTTGTACCGCATTGATTTATGTTTCCGAAATTTCGAAATGGCAAGAGATATTTATCGCACCGGGTCATAGACACGGTCATTTCCTCTGTAACGGACAGAGTGTTAATACCAACACGTGGTAGTAAAAACAGATTCCGAGAAAACGCAATAAAAAAAACGAAAGATTGAACGCGTCAAAGGTATACAAAGAACATCAGGTGTACCAGAAGGGAACAAAGAATTTATTTACTCGGATGACGAGTGGTTTCTTTCTGGTCGCATCAATCGGCGCCATCGCACGAACGAAATAAAAGCGGAGAAAAAAGCACGATGTCCAGATCGGGCGGTATTAAATTTTGGATAGCGATCGCGGCTGAAGCGACAGCCCTATTTCCATTCGTCCAACACCCGTGCGATTTAACGTTATCGCGGGAAAACTGGACGTGTTGCGTACAAAATATTAAACCTTCAGCTTTCAATTTACTCGCAGTGGAGAAATGCAGAGATACGGCGACGTATGCAACTGTGAATGTCGAAGACGATACATATGTGCATACGTATGTATAGGTGTATGGGGGACTAGAGATTTGGGAATGCAAGAATCTCTGTAGTCGGGATCTAGATATATGGAGAACTGAAAATCCGGAAGTTCAAGAGAAATGTAAAAATCCACAAACTTGAATCTAGGAATCTATGAATCTATAGATCTAAGAACCTATAAATCCAATAATGCAAACATCTCTGCATCAAAAAATTGACGAATGCACCACAGTAAAATAAACACATATTTCACTTTCCCAGAATATAACGCTTTGTGAAATAAAACTGGCGTAATGTTTTTCTCAATTATTCAAATATATTTCATTTATGACGTCGCCGGTGACCCACGGCATTCAACCTGTTTTGCATGCCGTGCAATTGTTGCGACCTGTATACGTATCATTTGGTTGCGTTAGGAATCATCGTGTGATACCGTGAGTAGCAACGTTTTCCCTGCTATTATCATATTCAAATTGACCTACCACCGGATGTAGATAATCGCGAACACAGAAACGGCCTATTTCGTAATGTATTTCGCGTTAAGCGCGGACTAAACCGGGCTATATTACAAATACGTAAACAACCATGGCGAATTATCTCTCGGTAATGAATTTTCTGTGTTCGCAACAGGTGTACTTTGCACGTCAAATATGCTTTGAATTTTAAATACCATTACTTTGTAATATTTCAGAACTAAAATTAAATTCATTCGTAACATACAAAATGTACAAAATGCGTTTTCCAAAATTTTGAGACATATCAAGCTAGCATATCTCTTGAAATTAAAATATTTTGCTGATGAAAGAGCTGACATTTGAAGGATATCTGATAAACCGGCACGTAAATGTGGAGAATAACTCGTTGCGGGTTAAATTGAGTAAAAAATGGCGACGGAGCATTTTCCATTAAATCGCGCAAAAACAGAGGGATTAAAATTAAACGACACGGATTTCCTAGCGTTTCTATTTTTACAAAAGGCGTTGTATACGGCGCGACATACGGGTGCGCGTGTAACGTTTCCGCAACAGAAAATCACGTTCCACCGACCTCATCTTCGTGGCCGCGTTCGTACGACGCCATTTCCCCGATTTAACGACCGCCGCGCGGTTAATGCGTCGTATAAGGACGTTACACATTTTTTCCTCTTCCATTCATGTACGCTTCTCTTTGTACTTCTTCGGAACAAGGACTAAGCTCGGAACGAGGGTAATTTTAAGATCGTGACTGGCCCAAAGACTCCCTGCACATCCGTCTTCCAGGTTGCAACAGAGTTTAGACTCTAAACTTCGGATCCTTTGGGAGGAGTTCGAAAGATCGAGATGGGACTCGAACAACCGGAACGGAAGTCGTATCGAAACGACACTAAATTTCGAACCACTGAAAAAACGCTACGCTTCCAAACTTTTCTCTGCCATTTCAATTTTACAGCCATCAATGTTTTACTGTGACCAATTTATTTTTCGAAAAACATTTCGCAACTCCAGTTTCGAACTTTAGACATTGGCAACGCGGTTATTTTAAACATACAGGATGTACCTTTCCGATTCAATATATTCCACTCGTACGAACTTGACTTTTATGTTTTCACGTTTTTATGGAAGTAAGTTTATTCGCCGTAATTAAATGATTTGTGATTTGGAACCAAGTAGCATTGTACCTATCATATATTATTGTGTTAGCCCTTTGCGCTCGAGGGGTGATTCGCAGTCACCATTTTATTTAATACAATAATTTGAAATAAGCATTTTTTAATTGATTCTATAATATGACACGTGTGATGTATAAACATAGAGAAACAAACAATAGTGAAAATTATTAGTAGAGAAATAATAACCTCAAGAGAGTTCATTAAATTTTAAAATTGCTGTTTGCAAACAGTCACATTACGTTCAAGCGCAAAGGGTTAAAATAATGTGCTACAAATAAATTTGTCGTAAAACTGCTAAAATTCAAAGTCCGAAATAAAACTTGTTCGCGTCGTCAGTATTTTCGAAGACGTGTCGTAAATGGACACGGAGAAGATACCGCGTCAGCGATAAAGATCGGAACCGATATCGATTTCTCGCAGGGATTTCGAACTAACCGTAGTGGTGATAGTGTTAAGGGTGTCCCTCGAAGAGGAAGCTTCCGATCTGAGAGGCATGGCCCTGGCAATGACATAAATCACCTTTTCTCGACAGATTTAAATAATCCTTTGAAACGTCCCTCTACCATTCGTCGTCGGTGTCCTTTCTTCTCCCGCGGACATAGATCATCGATACTGTCGTGATTGAATATCCAGACGGTCCTCGATTTAAACTGCGACACCGGTCGTTGGGAAACGAGAAGAATCTCGGGTAACTACGCAGCTTCTCGTGAAACGCATTTCACCGCGTACGGCCTGCACCCTCCGTTTCGTTCACTCGCAACGCGTCCCTTGGGAAAACTTTTATAGCCCTCCGCGAACCTCCACGGACACAGGGAATTCCTGGACTGAATTTACTGTCATGCTGCGCGTTAAATTAAATGTCGCGTATTTACGGTAGGGCTGTTTGGTTTAATTAGAAAGACGGAGAGGCAAACACAGAGAACCGACGAAAGAGAAATTGTCCGTGATCTTTGGAGTTGTAAAAGCACCGACCCTTTTGTCTTCTATCGTCACGTTCGTCCACTTAGGAACATAATCACCCTGGAACCTCGATGAAAATCCTCGAAAATGTCACTGGTGTGTTTCAAGTTCTTTTAACTCGACGACACTAAGAAAGTTTTATGATAATTTATGGCAACTTGGACGGTAATTCGCAAACGCGTAACAGCGTTTCACGGTATCGTTCGTTGCGCAGTTCGCTGTAAACGATCGCCACATCTCGCGAGCACTTCGATTCGATCGAGAGGATCGGACAGCTCGAACTCGTAGCTGAGAGGTTTGAAAATGAAAGTGGCGAACGAGGAGGATGTATCGTAGCTTGGAGAACAGTGCCAGCCATGCATTTACAACGCCACCCGGCACAATATAAGCCAGCCAAACCAGCTAGCATAATAAACGAATAACACGACGGAGCAACACACCCACGTAGATAGACGTCCGCCACAGCCTCTCAAACAAGCTGCGTGGATTCAGCTCGACGATAACTGGCTTTGCCAAAATTAGACGATCCTTTCCGTTACGTGATTCGCGGAATTCGCCGAATACTCTTCCCCGGGAAAATTCCTCGATGGATGCGATCGATATTGTCCAGAAGCAATATAAATTCGATTTATTATTCTGCGCGGGATTCATGAATTAGCGGGCTTTTTAACGGGCTGCTTACCGAAACGAATAACGCTCGTAACGCGACAATCGCAATTACTCAGAAAGAGCTCGAAAACAATTACTCATTCGGTGATGCACGTTATGTTTATGTTGGACCGAAACAATTTGTAGAATGAACAATAAATAGAATACCTGCTATTGCAAGATTACAACGGCGAAAGGATTGAAATATTCATTAAAAATCTTCGGGGTTGCTGAAAATGCAGTTCGTGACTACGGTTACATAACAGTTGAATCGACGTTATTTCAACCCTCGGGTAATTTCAGCGTAACAGGCGACGTCGCGACAAAACACGGGCAACGAAAAGTATGAAAAACTAACGGTTGGTCGCAAAGTAGCCCGCCGTAAGGGGAAGAAAAGCCAAAAGTCAGGGATCTTTGGTATCTGTCCACAATCTTGAATTTCCACGGGAATAGCAACTGGGTCAGAGCACGCGTTGCAAGGAAGCCAAAGAAGATTCGATAAAAAACGGAGCAAACAGAAGACGGAGGGGGCAAAAGTTTCCGACTCGTTGTGCCGGATACAATCTTTGCCGGTCAACCTGATTTCCTATTAAGGTCACGGAAGAAACTATCTCTCTTCCGTACATAGCTCGGCCAATGATCTCGAATCGTCTTTCGAATCGTCTTTCGAATCGTGCATAAACGAAAACGTGGCGATTTGCCCGCTAAACGACTCGGTTGCTCGCACGATTGAAAAGAGGTTCGTACGTGAAGCGAATCCACGACAGGATTGTTCCCATTAAGACGGGTCTATATTCTTGGCACAGAATTCGCGCTTTTACGTGTCGTTCGAGGATTGGTCGGTTCGAAAGGGACCCGCGAAAACATAATCGCGTAATCGTCGTGATCCTGCGGCGGATGATGGAAGCTGATCGAATATCCTGCCTCTTATTGCCGGGATCCGATGAAGCCGACTCCTTTATTCCATCGTCAAAGACTTTCCGAAGCCCGGATATATACGGAGAACCTTCCTTTTTATTTCTTCGTTAGGACGGGGTTGAAACAACGACTAGTCGTAACGACAGGTATTCCAGCACGCCTGGATCCTGCGGAACGGTCGGGTTATGATCGTTCCACGACCGCGTTCAATTTGTACGCTCGTTTCCTCTTCGACCTAGGTCTGCAATTTTTAAGGGTTACTGATTTTTTATGTCACTTTCTGGTTTTTAATTCGGTGCATCACCGAAAGAGAATTTATGTTTCTTTGAAATATATCAGATATTTACTTTGTTACAGATTCTCTTAGAGGATGCAAAGAAGGACAGTTCAATTTTACGGTAATTGCAATCTGGTGTGCTTTGACGCTAGAGTTGAGTAAAAGTCCATTCGTTAAATTATTAACTGATCAACAGACATAGTTCTCACCGTTATATTACACCATGTCAAAGACTAGCAAACTGACCAGAAATCTGCTATTAGGTAAGCTTTCGAAATATCCTTCCCGCTTCCACAAATACATCAAAATTTGCCATAGCTCGAACAAGATGTTTAATTCTTTATTCTCGCGTACGTGATTCACGAGTATCCGACAGCTGATTCACCCATAAACAAATGATCGTGCCTATAATAAGACCTAGTGCATTTTGCTGGGGTTCTATTCCGCTATTGTACTACTATTCCGTGCAAAACAAACAGGGGAACTTTGAAGTCGCCACGGAAATTGAGTCGGTGATATTTTAATGATCTCTCGTCGGATAAAAAAATGGTTTAGTCGGTATCGTCGAATACAGAGTTAAAACAACTTTTAATTGCACCCTTCCACCGAACAACCTAAATTACTCGGGGTATAAAAATACGCGATACCGGGTTGCCTTTGGGGGAAACGCTATTTTTGGCAGGCGTTATTAAACTTGCTGATGTTGATTTGATGGTATACGCAGATTGAATGGGTGTTTTTTTTTTCTTACGATTCGTGGGCGTCGTGTTTCCGTTCTTCAACGGTGGCACAACCAAACTAATCAGGGTAAAGAATGTCAGATGGATTCCTAAATTCTCTAGGTTCTTTCGAAACATTTTGTAGAACCTCCCTAGGCTCTTCCTGAATTAAAATCGAAGACAAACGATGGTTCCAGCGTAAACATTTTTGATAATAATAAACACGAGTGGTAAATACCGCCTGACATTTCCCCGTTGACATAACCTTTGTCCGATTTATTGGATTTCGAATTAGAAAACTTTTTGCTGTACTACAACGGATGCTTAGCGGTGCCTGAATAATGGAACGGCGTTCGGCAAGTTACAACGCGTTTATTCATTGAATTTTTTAAACGTTGCATAAAGGTCGAAAAGCCTTCGTTATTGTCGGTATCTTCGGTTGCGAGAGAAAATTGAAATTCTATTTTAATCGACGAGAATGTCCTTGTCTTTAGAAAAATGTACGAGGCTATTCCTTTGTAAGTAATTTCAAGCTGCGCGACTTGAAAGAAGTATCCCAGAGCGCAACAACATTCCCAGAAAAACGACAATAATTAGTTAACGATCTCCCGACGATCTTCGTTCTCGTTCTTTTTCCCGTCGCGTCAGTGGAAACGAGGACGTAAATACGCAATCGTAGCCCGATTCATTTCCATTTGTTGTATCACGAACGTCGACGGGAATACATGAATGCCAAGCGGGTGTTTTGAAGTCGCGATAATTGATTCTCAGCGGCAACCACATCCTCGCAGGATATCGAGTAAAAGGGCAAAAGGGAGAAAGAAGTGCCTTCGTTCTCGATCTTTTCTACCGTGTTACGGAGGAACGTAGGTGGTAAGAGATTCTCGGCTGCCTTTTTGCCACGCGTTAACGCGATCGAATAAATTTTAATGCGCTACCTAATCGAGATTAAACATCGCCGCTAAGCGGAAAGCGCTTCAGGAGATGATAAAAAATCACCGGAACCAATTTGCTCTAGTGGGGCATTTAAAACTTTCCCGATGATGCGCTGGCTATAACTTTTCGATTTAGTCGGATGAAACATGAATAATCCTTTTAACACAAGTACTTGGAATTAAATTTACTCGCATCCTTATTTTCGAAATTTATTACTTTAATTTTAATGTTATTTTTAAATATTATGTTCTCTGTATTATATGAGAGGGACTGTAATTTGGAGAGGGCAAGTTCACCCCTGATAAATATTTCGGGTACATTAATTTGTGCTAATTTATCTTAAATGGAGCGATTCGTTTCTTAACCTTCGAGCAGATCCACTGCATCAACGTACGAGAATAATAACTGTCGAATCCTGTTTATCTTGGAACGATAATTCGTGAGGAATGCACGAGGAGGAAACGGATGGGCGAGTGTTTTTCGTCAGTTGTCGCCTCGTAAAACCATACGCAAGGTATGCTAGCTACTGTAGAACAGACTTAGACCATTTATGCAACGCATTCTTCTATCCGACTATAGCTAATTTTCAAACCATCAATAAACATGTAGAGATTCTTATTTCGAATAACCAAAAATTACCACTGTTTCATATTTGAGGTACTTCTTTTTATAGTATACCTTATGGTATACCTTCAAATTGATTGATTATCATATACAATATAATAATTATTTTACTGTAAATTTACTAATAAATTAAGTGGGTTGGGTAAATTTTCTGTTCCTATTTTTTATGTCGCGCATTTTTGAAAGAGCATAATCAGTGCCATCTAGCGGTGTACGAAATAATTAACGCAAAAGATAATTGAATTTTTACAAAGAAGACATTTTTGTGCTTTATTAACAAAATTGAAGAGCTATGACCAACATTCATCTGAAATTACAATTAACTTAGATTGTTACGTTTAATAATAAAAAAAAATTGCACATAATGGGTATCGAAACACTATAACCACCTGGCGGTAACCACATGGAACTAATGAAACTGAACTTCTACAACTTATTTCAAAACCGATTAGTATTGATATTTATAATTCTGTATTTGTATTACTCGCTTGGGACATGTCATGAATTTCAACAAGTAGAAAGAAAATGGTTTTATTACAATAAAAGGTGTTGCTTTCAGTAAAATTGATAATTTACCACTGGATGGCTATAGTCCTTTTGTACCAAATAATTTTCAGCCGTGGAGAATTATACTTCCTGTGATTTATAATGTCATTATTACTACATAAAATTTGATGAAACAGTATCGCAGAGTTATCTACTAATGCTAATGAATCTTCATGGAAATTCATGTTCCAAAGAAGACTCCATTTTATTTCCAGCTCTAGCCACTAGATAGCACCAGCAGTACCGTTTCAAAAGCGCGCCCTCATGCAACTCTGGTAAACTTATAACAAGATTTGTGCAATGTTCCTCGATTAATAATATTCTCCCATACAAAGTAAAACATACTTCCGAATAGCAAAATCATTCTTTTTCTTGTTCAACTTCAATCTTCCTCGTTCCTTCTACCTCGATCTTCAATAAAACGAAGGCCTTATTATAGTCAGAAAAAAGTAAATTTATTCCATAGATTCTAATACAATTTTCTCCTTATTCGGTGCCTCTTAACAGATTCCAAGCGTAACTACCACCGCGATATTTCTCGAACGATGATTATCTCTGAATAGGAAAAAGGGCTCGGCCTCTATTGAGATCGTACTTGTACGAACCTTCAATTAACGTTGCTGGAGTACACGAAAATCAATGTATCGCGACGGTAACTCGATATCCTTGAAGCTGCGTATCATTATCCTCGCCGCTGTAACGACGATAATTATTTTCTTATCCCGATTTCTGCCTCTCATTCGACGA